CATTATTATTACATATTTACATCCGTAAAGGTTTTGGTGGAACTTCCTGACTCCAAATATGACCACTAAACCATCCTTCTCTACCTGGGCGAATTTATACTCTGCATTAGCCCAAAGTCCTGGATGCACATGCTATTAGGTGTTCCTCTGAATTGGGCCACCTATGAGCTAATACTATCCTGATGCTGTATGGAGAGATGTTGCACGTCAATACCAGATCATGGGAGCAGGGGCACCTTTGATCTCCCTCACTTTATCTTCCAATGGGTGTAACCCAGTCTTGTTGACTCTGTAGTCTAAGCAGATCTAAGGACAATGTCTAATTCCTCCAAGAGCTCTTAATTGGTCTTCCCGGTTATTGGCATATCATCTGGACAAATGCGGACCTGGGGTGGACCTTGTAAAATGTTTTCCATCGTCCACGGATTGCACAGGCTCGGTATACGTTCTCAATCCAGCAATGGTCTTGCGCAAACTTAAGGGCTGGAGTCCAAAGCAAATTTTGTTAAAGACTGATTCTGCGATCACTGAAATGGCTGCCCGGTATCAACCTCCATTAGACCACTTAACCAGACATTTATTTTGATTAGTTCTGATTTGGACGTTGCTAAGCAATTTAACTGTTCCAAACCAGATGTTGGTAGATTTTGCAGGGTGTGCACTCTCCTGGATACCAGCCTATGAATTCTCTTACTCAATTTTGGTCTAGTGGGACTGTTTTGTTGTCTTGAGTCTGCATACCGGCAGCACTTACAATGGCTTGCCAGCCCAGATCCTGAAGAAAGTTTTAACCGTTTGTCCAAGACTTGGCTTTGTTTTGGGGTTTTGCTGTGGGCTGACCTAGAGTCCCTCTGTTCAGGATATGTCCTGAGTGAGGCTGTGCAATTACCTTCACTCAAGTAGTATTCCCAAGCTCAGTTGGACTGGCAAGGGTGTCCACTTCCATGTGAATACCCCGTAACTCAAATGCTCTATGTGCCACATTTTCCAATGACAAAGCCAGTTGTAGTGTCTATAGTAGTAGCTTCAGCTAGTAGGCGCTTTTGCACGGTTACATCATTAATTGCACTCTCGTCGCCACCGAAATCGCTCTTCAGAGGCCAGTATCCCATCATTAAGTCACCCTTTATTTACATGTGGAGAGTCCTTGACACTGACCCAGCTCCCTCAGAGCCAGGTCACAGAGTTAACAGGATGCCTGACACTCCTGTTCTTATCTGTCAGCCAAGGCTTCCTGATTGGACTAGATTAATAACCCCAACCAGGGAACGCATATTCTATGATGTCCACCATGCTAACCCTGTTACAATCACTACACTTCCCTTCTTAAATAGTGGGGTTACATTTGCTCCATTTCTGTCTGCAGGAACCTTTCCAGAATTTATACAATTCTGAAAAATAACCACCAATGATTTATTAGCTCCATAGTCCCCTCCTTAAACACTCTTGGATATAGTTTATCTGGTCCAGGGAATTTACTAATATTCAAACCAGTCAGCTGTTCAAGTACTACACTTACTAAGATTAATTTCCTTCAGTTCTTCAGTTTCATAAGCCCCTTGGTTGCCGAACATTTGTCAGAGATTTTCTGTACCCTCTTCCGTGAAGACAGAGACAAAGTAATTGTTTAGTATAGCCATTTCTCTGTTCTCCACTATAATTTCTCCTGTCTTCACATTTGTTAGTTAATCTTTTCTTTCCGTATATCTAAAGAAGCTTCCAGGTCACCTTTATATTTCTCATTAGCTTACATTCATATTCTCGTTTCCCTTTCTCTATTAGTTCCTTGGGAATCGTTTTCTGGGATCTAAATTACTCCCAATCTTCAGCCTTACTACTCTCTCTGACATCCTTGTAAACCACTTCCTTTGTTCTACTGCAACGTTTAACTGCTTTGGTTAGCCATGGGAACATGAGTAGGTTATTCAGCTCCTTGAATTTACTGTCATTTTAGATCACGCCTGATCATCTACTTCAAACACCATATTTCTGTGCTATCCCCAGATTCATTGAGGTCATTACTAACTGAAAATCTATCCATCTCTGTCTTGAAGCTTACTTAATGACTGAATGTCAGCAGCTCTGAGGGATAGATAATTTCAAAGAGTTACCATCCTACTCATCTCCATCATAAATAGCTTGCCTTTTATTCTGAGACTGTGATCATCGGTTCTAGATCTCACAGATGGGGGAGACATCTTTCCTGCATCTTCTCTGTGTATCCCTTAAGTTTCTATGAGATGGTCTGTCATTGATTTATTCACCTTTCCCAATGAGTGTTTGTGCCTTTGAAGAATGTATATCTGTTGAAGACTATGCAGTACTTCTTTAAATACCACCACAGCCCCGTCAACATCAAATCTTTTCATGTACTTTCCCAATCCACTGTGGCAAACTTTCCTCTCGTACATTCAAAGTTTCCCTTTTCAGATTTTAAGACCCTGTGTTAAAAATAACCACAATCAACCTTCATTTGAAATTCTATCATTATAATAATGACCATTTCCCAAAAGCTCCTTAATGCAAGGTTGTTAATTAGGACTTTCTAATTGTATGATACTAAATTTAAAGTAGCTCAATCCTTAGTTACTGCCTCTGAACCTTCCTTGTACACATTTCAAGACTGTATCTTATAGTGTTAGCACTGGTAAGGTTTCTCCAACTATATGTAAATTCATGTAATCAATTATTCCTGTATTATCCATATTACTTGCATCTTTGATGGCCAATTTATTTTATTTCCAAGATTACCACTACTGTTTGGTGGCCAATAAATAACCAATGTTTGCCGCCCCTTGCTATTTCTTAGATCCATCCAGACCGATTCTACAGCCTAACATCATTAGTTTAACTGATCCCTCAGTTTAACATCATCTCTCATGAACATACCGATCTCATCCCTTATGAGGAGCATTACTCTGCCTTTCTTTTTTTATATGCCTTCCTAAATGACAAATAAGATGTTCAGTTTACAATTGCACTTGCCCTGCAGCTGCATCTTTGTGGTGGCAATTATAATAACCATATCTTAATTTGTGTTTTCAAATAATCAACCTTGTTGTCAATGCTGCATGCATTCAGACAGTGTCTTTAATTCTGCCTTTTTAACTTCATTCTGCTTTCTGAAGCTATTTGATGTTTGCCTTTGATTTGTCGTCTTCTAATTTCACCGATTACATTTCTACTTAATGTTACCAGCTTTGCTTCTTTTCAGTCTGAGGTCCCTCCCTGGTTCCTCTCCCACTGCAAATCTAGTTTAAACGTTCCCAAAAGCAGTAGCAAATCTCCGTGCAAAGATACATTCTCAGTCCTACTAAGGTGCATCTCATACACCATGTCTAAATTCCAACTGCCCCAGAACCAGTCCCAACACCTCAGAAATGATGGTCTTCAGCCTACACCAATTCCCCATCCATGTTTTCCATTGCTTAATTCTCCTGTCCCAAGCTCACTAGCACACAAGATATAGAGTTACCCTGCAAATATCTTTTATTATAGTCCTGCTTTGTAATCTCTTCCTGATTCCCCAAAATTTGCTTTCAGGACCTCATCCTCCCCTTTATGCTGCTGGTACCTTGCTGTTCACTCTCTCCAGAGAAAGAAGGTCCTTTTCCAGCATCTAGTACTGGACAAGCAGAAGTTTCCTCCAAGTAAATAAGGACCAAAGGTCTACAACCAAAGTTTCTGTCTTCAGTCCCTGCTACAAGCTCTGCTCCCTAGGCAATTTCTATCCATTTTCCAGTGATTTTTCTGTCACTGCCACAGATGTCTGCAATTTCAATGTTCTACCTGACTGAGCCACATTGCCTCCATCTCTAAGACTGCATACTTCTAAACCAGTGATATCGCCCAACTCCAGCCTTGCCTCTGCGTTGAAACGTTTTATTAATTTAGATTTCTGTTATTCCAATCCACCTACCTCGCCATCCTCCCACCTTCCACATTCTTAAACTATAAACTTAAGTTTATTTAATCTGTATTTCCTCATCCTAACCCCACATCAAGTCATGTTCACAATCAAACTCATGTTCGTTAATCTACATTGGTTCTTTATCTAGCAACACCTCAGTTTGGGTGCCACTCTTCAGAAAACATGTAAAGGCATTGGGGAGCATGTAGAAAAGATCGAGAATAGTTTCAGGAATGAGGAAGTTCATTTGCACAGAAAGATTGTGGACAAGTTGGGGCTGTTTTCCTTGGAGAAGGCCAAGAGGAGATTTTGTGGTGGTATTCAATTCCCACTCATACAAGAAGTGAGAACAACGGGGAACAGATTTAAAAGTAATTAGCAAAAGAAGAAAAATTTGACTTAAGGAAATGTTTTTTCAAGGGAGTGGTTAAAGTTTCAAATACACTGCTTGAAAGTGTGGTAGAGAAAATTGAAATTAATCATTACATAAAAAGGGATGTGCAGCATTACATGAAAAAGGCAAGAGAATAACACTTGGTGAAACACTCATTCAGAAAAACTGATGCAGACATGGTGGGCTGAATGTAACAACTGCAATGTGACAATTGTAGGATTTTAAAATTCCTCATTCAGGTGTGCAAATCTTTTTACTGGCTTGTGAATGCTGCCAGCTCTACAACTTTCCACAAATCCCATGCTCCTCCAATTCTGACTTTTATATTTTCCCCAATTTTGTTCACCCATGTTTAAACAGCTGTCTCTTCAGCCGTCTTGGTACTATTTTGAAACTTTTTTTAACTGTCTCCATCTTTAAGATGACTTTTAAAAGTTTTCAGTCACCTATTCCAGTAACTCTTTATGTAGCCTTGCTGTCACTTTTTGCCCTATAATACTCCTCTTAAGTGTTTTTGGCAAATTTTACTGTTAAAGATTTTATATAAACGCCAATACAAAAAACGCCAAAGTTAATCATTACATAAACACATTTTAATGAGTTAGTAAATATTGATTTAACATTGTGCATGTTAAAATTTACCTTCATATTTAAAAAAATCAAGGCTGCAAAACTCACAATTATTTAGCAACTCACCAATATCTGTGCAACCCGGAGTATCCAAACACTCTGCAACATGCCACCGGGGTGTTTCTATCAGCAATAAGGAAAAGGGCATTTGACAGATTGGGCAGTAGCCGTCATGGACAGGCCTGGCCTTTTTGGGCATTTGTTTGCCCTCGGAGGCATTGGGAAATTCAACCTGGGACAGGGGTCTGTGTGCGGCTTGTTGTGGGGATGACTTGCTGGCATTTGATGCAGGCGAGGACATCTCCTGATCAGAGGTTGCCCTCGCGCCTCTCGGCGAGTGGTCAATGGACACCCTCGGAGAGTGCCGCTGTGATGTGGCTCCTTTAACCCGGCTCCCCCGCCGGGCAGACTTGCCCCCGCCCGCATGAGCACGGGGAGGGCTACTACCAACTTCTGTGGTATTTGCAAGCCGCCTCCGTTTCCCGACGGACCGATAACCCCAGATAGCCTCTTCCTCGGCGCTCATAGCGCAACCGCGAGCGGGAAGGGAACACCGAGCCGTTGAAACCCGGCACTCGAGCTCCCCAAACCCTCCGACTCAAATCCGCAAATTCGACACAATTTCTCGCAGCAATCCAGCAACGATGAAAATTTTTTTTAAATGGGTTCGGTTTGAGTTAACGATACGTATGTGCGGTGTACATACGCATATGGTTTTAAACATAATTAAAATTTAAGTAATGCGCGAGCAGCATAGCGAATGTGGTGATCGGCGCCGCTGTTCTTTACTCGCTGTCTGCTCGATCGCTGCTATGGCGGCCGTGCTTGGAGCTCAGTCTCAGCTGGAAGCTGCTCTACTGGAAGCTGCTGGCCAGGCCGAGAAAGAGGAACTCATCCTCCAATATCTTCGAAAGATAGATGACGGGGAAACGGATTTAAAAATCCCTGAGTTTACCGAAGGTAAAATTCGTTTCTTTCCCCAGAACATCAGAAGGGAAGGCTAGCTGGGTTTTAGAGAGTCGTTCGGTACTTGAATTGGAAGGTAAATGGGGAATAAATGTCACAATCGCCTGTAATGTAATTTTGACATTACTGGAGTCGCAGGTGGGGAAGGTATTGATTTTAAAACAGAATATGCTCTGCTTTTTTTTAAAGAAAAAGCATACCCGGCGTTGTTGTTGAAAGTTTCCGCAAACTTCCTCTCATGTTCTTGTCTGACATCAGACTAACTGAAATCAAATATGTACATCTTTGCGTATACAATACAGACAGGGAACTTCAGTAGTCAGGAAACTTTTAAAACAACATATTATCCATGAATATCCGTTGTTATTGCAGGATGATGTGTTGCTTTTAAAGTTTCCTGTTCGCCCAATGTCTGTCGTATGTCTGCACAGACTGTGAAAAGAAGACGCACGGTTCCTCTGCGCCTAGCCGTAAAATACTGCAAGCTGTATATCTCGTCTTGTCTATTAACACAGTATAACCTCTTCCTGTAAATGTCTATACAAAGTGTGATAGGAGCGTCAATCGTCTGGTGTTTTGCGCAAAAGCTGAAAGTATCTATTGCAAATCACCCCCATGAGGAAAGGGGAAGCGACTCAGAGTACCAGTTTGTGTAGAATTGACCTTAAAAGGTGAAACGTCACTAAACAGGGCGATGAGGTTTCTTCGTGGGAATTTTTGCTGTAGTTTCATTTTATCCTGCACCTCCAAGAAAGTATAAATTACTATATGTGCATTCCTGTCCTAATTCGCTTATTGTACTATCTGGTTTCATTTTAACCTGTAAAAAATCAGAAACGTAACGTTTTTGTTTTTCCACACATTCAGTAGATGAGTACAATTTATAATACTCCAGGACAAATGCAAGAATGCCAGATTTCAAAGATCACAATAATTTATAATATAGGAAAAATGAGTTCTGAATGATTAACAAGTTAACTTTGAGCCATTGCCATGATGACGACATGAACTATCGGCTCCCCAAGCCAAGTATCACAGCTTTAAGGCTCTGGATGGCTTTGGCTGCATATTGGACTGACCCTCTAACAACTAATTGCAGCGGTGTCATCCAGCTCCCTTTTTCTCCATCTAATACATTCCTAAGTTCCCTCTAATTTTGTTCCTGGCTGCATGGGCCTCCAAGACATGTACAGCAATGACTTCCATCAATGCCACAATTAGCATGCTGAGTACTGACCATGGAACCTTAGAGCAGCTGAGTGCGTGAGGGAACATTGCTGAATACCCTAGAATCACACAATTAGCATGCTGAGTACTGACCATGGAACCTTAGAGCAGCTGAGTGCGTGAGGAAACATTGCTGAATACCCTAGAATCCAAGCCCTTCCCTCTGCTGGCTAAAACTCAGGTGACAGAGGTTCCCGTTCTTGAAGAACAACTCCCTTACGACAACTTGACCCTCATCTCAAACCTTGATCAGGTACACACATTAGTACAGGCGTGGGTCGTGTATGCAATGAACTGCCAGAAGAAGTGGTAACTGTACCCGCCTCTACATCATTTAAAAGAAATTTGGACAGGTAGGTGAATGGGAAAGGTTTAGACGGATATAGGCCAAACGCAAGCAAGTGGCCAAGTTTAGTTTGGGGAAACTTCGTCGGCATGGGCAAGTTGAACCGAAGGGGCTGTTTCTGTGCTGTATGACTCTATATCTTGGGTCTCAGAATAGCTGGAACACTATAGAGAGATCAAAGTGAATTCTGGAAAGCTGTGGCATGCTTAAGTTTGGGCACAGCAGAAGTAAATTAACTCTCAAGATCCTGTAAAGTTTTGAAGAACCTTGGCTGGATGTAATGTATAGAACTGGATTTAGAACTTGGGTAACTGCAAATGATTGTGTTGTTAGTAGTGCTTACTTTGTTTGTTTAATTCTTGTACAACAAAGTTTTTTTTGTTTAAAAATTTGAAATCTTGTGGGGTCATTCTTCCAATTAATAGCTGGAGTTTAAATTTCTCTTTAAACTGTTACCAGTATCAATGCAGCTCATAAGTAAATTAATTAGGATTGAGGGCACAAATTAGTTGTGGTTACATTAATTGTATGAAGCTGAAGCGATAGATGACTTGTGTTCAAACTGATGTGCTGCTGTGACACTTAGCATGAAGAAATTTTGAAGTGAAGCAATGCCAAGTATGTACAAAGCATGCTGAACTTAAGAAAATTTGCAGAAATTGCTAATAAAAAAACTAACTTAAGGAATATCAAGTAACTTACTGTTAGATTTCACAGTAAAATCAAAATCCTGATGAATTGAATCCCAGGAGATCCACCCACAAATTTGTGCTAAGCGGAGCTTCGTGATAGCCGAGGAGGCTCCATTCCCTCCAGAATGCACCTCTGTGTCAGTTGATATTCCTAAAAACAAGGTATATGTCAAAAAAAATATTCAATTTCTTTTTACTCTTAAATGGGATGTAAGCATTGTTGGCAAGGCAAACGTTTGTCACCAATCCCAAATAGCCCTTGAATTGAGTGGCTTGCTAGGCCATTTGAGAACAGTTAAGAGTTAAATGCTGATTGAAAACACAATAAAGCAGTAAATGTGTGAAAAATATTTTTTCTAATTTGTTCACACCTTAAAATGGCCTGACTTCGTAAAAGCCCAGAGCTTTGCATTGAAAAATCTAGTTAGTTCCAGAAAAGCTCCATAATCTTTATCTGCTTGACATTTTGTCTTTGTATGAGTCAAATGCAGTCCACCATGTTGTCAATACAGTCAAATGTTTTTGTGCTACAGTATGAAGCTCTGGAACATCTCCACAGCCTTTGCAACATGAGGTAGAGAAACATGTGGGCAAGTGGTGGGTCAGACTCTTCAGAGTCATCGGCCTTCTCTGTTGAGGATATAATACATCGATGAATGCATCATCTGCCAGTTCTGTTACAGTGTTGTCCACCTTCAGGTTTCCACATTTCTCTCTGCTGGAACTTCCATGACAGCCTCTCTGTCATGTGCAAAAAACATCTCATCAAGTTGATTGATCACACCCTGCTACTCCTTGTTCACAGCAACTTGTGTAATAGTAACTTGTCTGAACCCAACCAACATCGCGGTGGAGTAGGACGCTTCAGCCGGAATTCATCCGCTCCATCCATTTCATTTTTTTTCCCTTTGTTTTTTTTTCTCTCTTCTTTTTTCTCGGTGACATCCTGGACTCCTCACTTCAGCGTGGACTTGAACTTAGACTCTCAGCCTCAGCACGGACCCGGCAAGGCATCCTTCCAGATGGGCATGACGGTTTCCCGCCCTGCATGGTAATCTTAGTGACCCAATGTTCCGGTCTTTCAGCCCGGTGTGGCCTCAGCCTGGACTGCTGGCCTTGAGGTGATTCCAGAGCAGTCTCCTGGTCCCAAGGTGATGCTTGGCATAGACTGGAGACTAGGTCCCAGCATAGATGGGATTGGAAGGACTCTTCTGAACTTCTTATTTCTCTATTTTCTAATTTATTCTTACGATCTGTAATGCTAGACTTCTTATTTCTTTGCTTTTCTAACTTTTTTGGCTAAGAATTTGTACTGAAGCATCTATACCTATGTATCTCGGACCTAAGATGGTGCCATTGGTGGCGACTTGTAAACTTTTTACTACTCATTTGAGTGCATGTGACAATAAAGCTAATTCAACTTGGTAGAAATGTTCAGCAATTGTGGCTTTGGTCACCATCCTCCATGCCTTCGTGATGAACGTGGCTTTTGGAATATTTACATTGTACTCCTTATCAATGGCCTTGATAACCTAAGAGATTACCCTGCCTTTGGTAATGGGTTTTCAGATTCATAATCACTTTTGATCTAATGGCTGGAGCTTGGTCATAGTGTTGAGTGGCAAGGATGTCAGCTTTGTACTCTTGAAGCCAGCAATGTTGGGGTGTATAGGACAACTGAAGTAATAGTAATCTTTTCCTTTATGTTAATGTCTCTTGTCCACTTACCCAAATCACTGCTCTACAGTGCTGAAGCTCGTCAAGGCACTTGTGTTAGCCTCGTACTGCATGGGTAATGTCAAAAATGGCATCTGTGAAGCAAAATAGCTCCTTAGACTTTAGTATCACAAGAACTAGCCGTTTTTTGATTCCATCTACGTTGGTGCAGACAAAGCAGTGATGCATTCCTTACTCCAGTTTCCAGGATTGATGTTTAAAAGGTTAAACATGTGAAGAGTTGTGTAGCAGAAGCCCAGTTTCATGTGTATCAAAAATATCTCTTTGTATGTACTTATTCAAGACCATTGTGGAGCCAAACATTTGTCATTGCGACTATGCACTCTCCAGTTACTGTACAGAAGGCAATGTTGTGCCTTGTCTTGAATCAATATAGTCATTCATCACAGGGAGCTACAACTTTCTTGACGCACTTTTCTACAGAATTGGATTGGCAAAGGGAGCGTTCTCTGCTCAGGCTGCCTTGAACCACATTAGCAGCACTTCTTCAGTGTCAGGATCGACAGCAGTTCTCATCCACCTCCTGGTGAGAAAATTTGCTTGTCACAATGTTCCAAGCTGGTCATCTTGTCTTTCACAATGATGGACTCCTCCCACTCAGCATGTGGTCAGCTGTGGTTTTCCACTTGCTGCATCAACGTTACTTTCTGTCTGACAG